CCTATCATATCCAATTACCCAACTCCTAAGCCTTATTTAAGACCATTAGCATAAACTATATTTTTAAGTGGCTCCACTTGAACTATATTTGCTCCCTTGACAAGACTAATGGGGACTTTTCCAGTTCTGGAATCCATACTGTGTCTGTCTAGACAAATGAATTTAAATCCTATGTAGATTCACACCATGGGGTCTTTCCTCCACTGCTTGCGTCTTTCCAGTTTCCACCTCCTCCCCATCCTAAACATCGTCTTCGCTCAGCCTTAATCTCCCACTTTCTAATCCCTACAAATGACAGTCAGGCATATAAATCAACATGTTTACTGTGAAATGTTTCCAATTAAAAAGGACGTTTGTTAAAAAGCATCAGCGGACACTGCTGGATCCCTAATTGTCTGGGATGCCAGTGTGTGATGCATATTAATTACATATTAACCTCTCATTCAGAAATGAGCTTGCACAAATCCATACAGAGGCATTAGTGTGTATTGCATATTAATTACCCATTAGCCTTTGCTCTGCGCAGTAAGAGCTGCGTGGCATCAGAAAGACAGCTCGCCCAGGGGCAACACACACACACACACACACACTAATACCACCTACATCGTCTATTCAGGTTGCATTTACTATGACGTGTGAGCCATTTGAGTCATCCATCCATAACCATAACTAATTTCACCACAGGAAATGTGTGTGTGTGTGTGTGTGTGTGTGTGTGTGTGTGTGTGTGTGTGTGTGTGTGTGTACACGTGCGTGTGTGTGTGTGTGTGTGTGTGTGTGTGTGTGTGTGTGCATTGTTAATGGTTTACATCCCTTAAATTAGTTTAGGACTTACAGCAGCTGATCTAATACCTTGTTTATATTTAGACCGGTGTTATTATGAGACATCTTAACATGAAAAATGGATTGAATTAAAAGAAGAAATTGCTCATAGAATACAATCTTATTTGAGAACAGGTCCAATCCTTCTTTTGGGGTATTTGTTAATTTATTTGCATAAAAATATAACTTTAAGTTTAATTAAGTGATTATTTTATTCCACTTGCATTAGCCAAATCCCTCAACCTATAATTCAAAGAAGTCCTTCACTGAAAGACCAAATTTTACTTATTATTTTTGACAATGATTGGTCAATTTGAGTTTAACGTGCAGGCTGAATATGAAAACGGTCTTCTGGACCTAGCTCCTGCATTCGTTTCTGATAGAAAATAGATGGTGAAAACTCTAGGATTAGAAAAGCCTGACAGATCTACGTCACATGACTTAACATCAATAAACTCACCCATCTTAACGCAACAGGTAAGACAACAGAGAATGTCTCACCTAGCAGAAGCTAATTGTTAGCATTAGCGACTCCACCACTCAGCAGAACTCCTCCAGGATTGAGTTATTTGTGGAGATGAAACATCAGTGTTGCAGACCAAACGGAATTGGTGTTAATTGTGTTGCTGTTAGCCAATCAAAGGAGAGATGTCCAAATATCAGGAAATAAGGCACCAAATTCTGTCATCCGAAGCTACTTTCTCCTCTGACTGAATTCTCCATTCTGAAACAGGCGCACCAGAGCTTTTTTCCCCTATAGTAAGACTTACAAGGTTTTCATTCCCACCATAGACCTGCAAATGTATGAAAAATGGGTGAAATTATGAGTGAATAACCTCTTTAAGGAAAACACTCAACACTGTTGCAACCATGTTGTTATTTGTGCTCAAGTCATGACCACGTGTCGTGTAAAGTCCTGACTTTTCATTTGTTTTTGTGTTTTTTTTTGGGGGGGGGGGGGGGGGGGGTTATTCTGTTGCCTATTTATCTGACATAAAACAGAAATAATTAATGCTAATAAACAATTGCATACTCTGGTAATTCCCATTATTCAAATCAAATGAGTTGATATTAGTGTTTTTGTTTTTTTGTTTTTTTTCTTTTTGAGCACTAGATATTTTTCACCCAGCATTGCACTACTTACTTACAAATGTTTAAATCGCTCACACGATTGCCTACAACTTCTAGAAGCACATTTGCAGATGCAGAATGAGGCATTTTGGTTAAACAAGAGCACTCTAAACCAAACCTCAGCATACACTCCATTGCTTTTTTGTATGTTTTTGAGTCTATCTGTATCAATCTAATTTTTTGGGAAATGAACATGCATATAGATTTGCAAACCAGTGTCATGTATTCCTAGAATGTGAAAAGATGATTTATGGACCCCTTTGGTAAAATAGTTTTACTGATGCTGGATTTAGGACTGTTCTTACATTGGTAAAATGTTCTGCCCTAGATAAATGAGAATTGATCTGATTTTTGGCTGAGGATAAAATGTACAGCTTTGCAAATGTTTATGATGAAATTGTGCTTTATAGCACAGTAAGTTGTGCCGTTCGCATGTATACATCTTAGTACATTCCCAAGGCTTTGGGACTGTAAATGTGTTTATGGATAAGTAAAAAAAAATAATAAAAAAAAATAAAACACAGAGAGGGCCACAACATTGGACATAGTTTTAATAAACCTACACTCTGTACCAGGGGTGGGCAATTCTGGCCCTCGAGGTGTGCTATGCAGCAGGTTTTAGTTGTTTTCCTGGATGAATCACCTGTTCCGCAGCTCATCAGGTTCTGCAGCAGCCTGTTAATCACCAGCAGATTCAAACCAGGTCTGTTCATGCAGTGACACAACATATGCTGGATAGCTGCTCTCGAGGACCAGGATTGTCCACCCTTGCTCTATACCGTCTGTAACAGAAACTATACTTGACGAAAGAGCATTTTTGGGCTGTGAGACATTGCGTGTTAGAACGTAGATGACACATAACCAATGAAATTGACCAAACCAATTGCAAATGAGAATAGTATGGGATTAGATTTGTGCCAATAGGATCAGGAAATACACTTTGGAGATCAAACAAATATTAAGACAGTGAGAGAAAAAAAAGTTAAAAAATACGTACTATCTGAATCAGCTTCTTAAAATGATCAAGAAAAGCACTTTGACGATGAAACAAAAATTAAGAACTTGACAGAACAAAAATATTGACTAACTTACTATCTGAATCAACTTCTTAAAATGAGTAATTAAGTATGTTTATTATTTTCTGTTTGCCTCTATGTGTTTTGGTTATCAATTTCCTTTGTTTCAATCTTGCTGCTCAGAGCTTTGCTCTCACCACCAGAGTTGTACTCACACTACCTGGCTTTCTCCTTTGCAATCCATGAATTTTTGGTTGCAATTCTGACACAACCCTTTCAGTTGGGTGGGACTTCTGAGAAGTCCTCTCCCATAGGACAGTGGTTTCTCTTGAGTGACAGTTCAGTGGCCCTCATATCAGTGAAGCTGATTCAGATAGTACGTTTTTCTTTTGAATTTTTTTTCTCAATGTTTTAATATTTATTTGATCTCCAAAGTGTTTTTGTTGATTCTATTGACACAAATCTAATCCCATAAAGAGAAGCATAAAAAAAGTTCAAAGGTATTACTTTTTTAAAATGAGCTCCTTCAGCTCCACCTTACAGTTATAATTATAATACTATCATTTCCCAGCCCCCCCCCCCCCCACATACCAAGCACAGTTAAGTTGTGTGTGTGTGTGTGTGTGTGTGTGTGTGTGTGTGTGTGTGTGTGTGTGTGTGTGTGTGTGCGCGTGTGTGCGTGCGTACGTGCGTGTGTGTTAGCAGAGGTGAGACTGAGTGATCCAGGGCAGAGGGAGTATTTTTCAGGACTAATGTTCCATGACAACAGACCAAGGTTCCTTCAAGGTGAATCAGAGCCACTGCTGCCTAATGACTGAAACACTCACACTCACACACACACACACACACACACACGCACACACGCACACACACACACACACACACACACACACACTTCCTCCCACTGCATTGTCTTCTCCTTTTGTCTCTCGATGTCTCATTGTTATAAACTTGGCTTCTTTCTTGCCATCATTTGCTTCATTCGTCCAATCTCTTATTTTTTCCCCTCATATATTTTCCCCATTTTAATCCTTCTCCTGCAGTTTAATTACTATTTTGTTGTTCATGGCTGCACAACAGCCACACCAAAACAATGGTAGTGGGGGGAAGTGGGGATAACGCCAATCTGTGGTAAGCATGGCTATGTGTCCTCTAATGTCCCCACAATTCATTCTCTCATCTAAATGGAACATGAATCTGTAATATGCAGCAGAATATCTGTTTAATTCTGTCAATAACACCCCCCCCCCACCCCCCACCCCCCCACCCCACCCACCCCCCCCCCCCCACCCCCCATATATATCTTAGTGTTTGCATCTGTCTTAGGAAAAACTGATAAATCAGACAGAACTGCTGTAAATCACTGATATGTGGACTTGAGGTTGTGGCATTGGCAGCAGATTGTTGATGTACTCCTGGGTGTTAACATTCTGAATGCATTGCCCTCCTGTCTACCTGCCCCACTTAGATCAGTCGGCTCAGTGTGTGTGTGTGTGTGTGTGTGGGACTTTATAAAAAAAACAGGTGCTTTGTTTCTTTGCTCACTCAATTTGCTCGTTTTGTTTATGTTGCACAAAGAGGATCATTATTATGCAGCAGCAATACGTGCAAACACCAATAACAAAGATTCTAAATGACTGAAGCCTGTGGAAACAATGAAAAGAAGCTAACTAAGGGAAAGCCTAACATTTGAACAAAGATGATGAAACATGAATACTAGAACAGGAATGTGTAGGTTCACTGAAACGAGGAATCCAGAGAAAAGCACTAGAAGAAAATGACTTTAAAAGAAAGAAGTTAAAAAGAAGTGACTTTTTTTTTCTTTTCACACTTATAAATAAATGTATGTCTCTAATGAATAACCTCAAAACAACCATATAGTAGTTGGCTGCAGCCTTTTTTTTAAAGGAGGCTGTTCTGCTTTCAGGTCACGCTGTTTTGCTTCTGCCTCCCTTTACTTTCTGTTTTCATGTCTACTCTTATCTCATCTCTCCATCCTTGAATTCATGTATTCCTCTCCTTCTTTTTCAGTGTGCAAAGTGGGGTTTTACCGCTCACAGCTGGAGTCTTCAGCATGCAGTAAATGTCCACCCCACAGTGTGGCCAGGCAGACGGGAGCCACTTCTTGCAGCTGTGAAGATGAATATCATAAGATCGACTCTGACCCTCCCAACATGGCCTGCACACGTGAGAATTTAGCATTTAGTTCAATTTACAAAGTCTTGATTGTTATCTTACTCTAAGAAGTTTTCATTTTCTTTAGGCCCTCCTTCTGCACCACGCAATGCCATTTCCAATGTCAATGAGACCAGTGTCTTTTTGGAGTGGTCCATTCCCATGGAGACAGGTGGCAGGAAGGATGTGCGCTACAACATCCTGTGCAGTCGAGTTTTACCGGATGGTAGAGGGTTGGAAGAGTGCGGCCCCAACGTTCGTTTCCTTCCACGCCGAGTTGGCCTGTCTAACACTTCAGTGATGGTAGCCGACCTGCAGTCACACACCAACTACAGCTTCCTGTTGGAGGCCGTCAACGGGGTGTCAGAGATGGCCAAAGACTACACTAAACAATATGTGACGCTTAATGTGACGACTAATCAGGCAGGTATGTTGCATCTTGCTTTGATTCCAGTTACAACATCTTAAATTTAAATATATTAGTTATTTAATACATTTGACATGTTTGCATATGCAGGCTTCTTTGTTGTAAAAATGTTCCTCAACCCAGAAGCACTGCTATCCCTCTTTCGTTCTTTTGTTTCATTCTTTTCCCTGAAGATTTCAAAATTTTTCATAATTGGTGAACAGATTTTTTTCCCCCTAAATTAATCTGCCAGAGACGATTAGCGTGTCGGTTTTCAGGTACAAATAGCTGAGTGTGAAAACAAAGACACCAGATGATCAAATTATCACAGTATTTGTCCAACAAATCTGTCGCTGTATTCATTTTCGCTTATGCATCCTCCCTGCCGTGAACAATAAAGCATTGCACAGGGGAGACAGAGTCGTTATTGCTCCTGCATCCAGAAATGTCATCGGAAAAGCAGCTTGGTCCCTTCATTTGGATGATGCATTCCAACAACAAAATTCACAGGAATCTCTGGGATGATGAAAGTACCTGAGTTGCAGACTGTTGTGTGTTTGGGTTTTGGTGTGGTAGCAGGTGTTAATCTGCCAGCTTGTCATTAGCGATGAATCATGCTGGTGAATCAGCTGACTGTACATGATCATTTTGAGTGGGAAACAACTGTTTCTGCTCGTCTCTGAGCAAACATTTATAAACCCTGTGTGGACAAAGTAAGCAAGTAAGTAAAACTTTATTTATATAGCACTTTTCATACATAAAATCACAAAGTGCTTCATAGCATACATAAAAAGGCAAAACAGGACAGGAGCACAAGGTCATCTTACATAAAAGCTTGTCTAAAGTGTCTTCAGCTGCTTTTTAAAAGAATCAACAGAGTCGGCCACACGAAGAAACAGAGGCAGGGCGTTCCAAAGTCTGGGAGCTACAGCTTGAAAGGACAGGTTCTCTCTAGTTTTAAATCTGGTCTTAGGGACCTTCAGTAGGTTTTGACAAGAGGACCATAGACTGCGGCCAGAAGAGCGAGGGATTAAAATGTGTAATAAATAGTGTGGAGCTTGTCCATTAAGAGCTCTAAAAGTCAAAACTAAATTTTTTAAATCAATTCTAAACTTGACCAGTGGCCAATGTAAAGAAGATAAAACCGGTGTTATGTGAGCCCTTCTATTGGTTCCTGTTAAAAGCCTTGCTGCAGCGTTCTGGACCAACTGGACGACTGACATCCGATTTGTTAAAACAAGTTAAGATAGAATTACAATAATCTAAACGAGAGGAAATAAAAGCATGGATAATCATCTCCAAGTCCAATTTTGAAGTAAATGCTCTCAATTTGGAAATGTTTCGCAAATGATAAAAGCAGTTCTTTACTAAATGTTTTGAGTGGCAGCTCAAAGACATGGACTGGTCAAAAAGAACACCAAGATTTCTGAGACTGGTCTGGACTGAGGAGCTCAGGGAACCGAGGTGTTGTTTAATTAAAAGCACTTTCTGTTCACAAGCAATGATCAGTGTTTCAGTATTGCTTGAGTTCAACTGAAGACAGTTACTGGCTAGCCAGTCCTTAATACACTCAATGCAATCAAGTAGGTCAGCTAACTTGTTAAACTCTGTGTCCTTAAAAGAGCAGTACAGTTGAATGTCATCTGCATATAAATGGTAGGACACATTTTTAAAGCTTTTAATAATCTCCCCAAGAGGGCAAATATATAAAAGAAACAAAATTGGGCCAAGGAGCGAGCCCTGGGGAACACCATGAAGCAAAGATGTGACTTCAGACCTAATCTTGTTTACACATAAAGAAAATGTTCTGTTATTTAAGTAGGAAGAAACCACTTCAGAACCGTACCGGAAAATCCTAACTCATTTTTAAGTCGATGTAACAGAATTTTATGGTCAATCGTGTCAAAAGCTGAAGACAGATCCAATAAAACCAGTACTTTGGCCAGAGTCTGCCGCCATCAATACATCATTAGATACCTTTAACAGTGCTGTTTCAGTGGAATGTATCTTACGAAAGCCTGATTGGAACTTATCTAAAACATTATTAAGGTCCAGAAAAGTAGTCAGCTGCCCTGCCACCAACTTCTCCAGAACTTTAGCCAATAAAGGGAGTTTTGAAAATGGCCTATATTTGCCGGGTTCAGATGGGTCCAAATTGGCCTTTTTCAAAATAGGGCTTAAGGCTGCATGTTTGAAGTAGCTTGGAACTGACCCAGTAGAAAGCGAAATGTTAAAAAGTTTGGTGGTGTGTGTGCCAACAACATCCCAAACTTTCAAGAGCAGTGATGAGGGGACTACATCTAATGGGCAGGAAGAAGACCTCATCTTTTTGGCTAAACAAACAAGAAAATTGGTGGGAAATATCCAGATTTTCCACATGCACACTATTTCTTGGCAGATTTTTAAAGAAAACAAGCACCCATAAATGTTTTGGGAACTCGTTTTTATACTTGTGTGTGTGTGTGTGTGTGTGTGTGTGTGTGTGTGTGTGTGTGTGTGTGTGTGTGTGTGTGTGTGTGTGTATGTATGAATGTGTATATACATATATATATATATATAAATATATATATATATATATATATATATATATATATATTTATATATATATTTATATATATATACTTTATACTCATTACTTGTTTACAGGAAGTCCACGCTTGTAGGGTTTATTTTATTAGTTTCTAATGAAATGAGTAGCGTGCATGAGAAGGAGGGTACCATTTTTGTCTCCTAAGCCTCCATCTGGAGGAAAAGCAAAAAATAAAAGTATTGACAAGATTGTATTTGCTACATTTTGGTGAACAGATGGCACATTGGCAGTCAAAGAACAGTAGGTAGAATTACTAGCAGCGTCAGTAGGAGTGGTGGTTGTGAAAATCCAAATAACAGATCTGATATGTGTTGAGGAGAGACACGTGTAGAGAGAAAGAGGCAGATGGCTCTCTAAGAACCAAGACTGCTGACAGTCCTCTAAATGTCTCGTCACCATGGTAGTCAGCGGACTGAGTGGATTACACCAAACCATAAAACTCAGATTCAGTTTATTGGAGTTGTAGCTGGATTAGCCAGTCAGTAGACCAAATGGAGATTTGGATTAGGTTAGATTAATAATTGCAGTGAGAGACGGATAAAGTGGTTTCCAAAATATAAATGAGAAAGACCGGAGAACTGTGAATTAGAATTAATGTATTTAAAATGTAAACATGTGACATGTCCCATGTGTAATTAGTTTACCTTTCTCACCAAAAGATACATGAAAGTATAGAAAATAAATTTATTTTATCCTGACCGACTTCTTGAGGATTGAGAAATACTCATTTGAAATATTTACAAAAGTCCTAAGATATGTGTGAGATGTTTTATGGCAAGGTAGGGCTGCTCGATTATGGCAAAAATAATAATCACGATTATGGTGACTGAAATTGAGATCACGATTATTTAGGACGATTTTTCAATTTATGTTGATTTTATTTGTTTTTATTCAGTCATAAAACTGCTCAGGGCACAATCAGGACAAAAATAAGAAACAAGATGATCACTAAAAGAACTCCTGAATCCCAGGATAAAAGGACCAATATACTTATAGCTCATAGTCTATGACCCAAGGGCTATAGACCTTGGTTTAACTCATGTAAGTCTAACCAGTACAGACCCAAATACCAATATCTTGCAAATACTGACAGCAAGAATTATAGAGTGGCATTTATAACAAATAAATGCAAATAAACTGATGTTCACAAAATGTTACATAACATTTATTGAGTCGTGTCAAGGTGCTGTAGCACTGTGTCCTCAGAGAGATTAGTTATCAGCGTGAGGAACTTATTTCTACCTTATTTATAAACTATTTATTTACAGGCCCATCAGTTAATGTAATAATTGTCCCGACCACAGCTGCACCCCCCACCCCCCCACCCCGGTCTCACACAATCGGGCAAGCTGCACGTGTGTTTAGCACGCCGCACGCGCACATTTAGCTGTTTTTAGCTGCTCAGGAGACCGCAGGTGCGGTGTGTGTGTCACTCACTCTGGTTAATCCAACAAGGAGCCGGCTCCGAGAGCCGTCTTTAGCGACCGACACATCACTGCATCATTCCCTTTCCTAATGTTGTGAAGAACGGTCCGGAGCACAGGCGGAGTGTTTAGCTAACCTGCAGGAAATGTCGACGACAGTTATCCAGAAAGTAGCTAAGGGTTACCAGAGATGTTTCTGAGATGTTCGCTTGGTACTTTTAGGATTAAAAAGTCAAGAAGGGGGTCTGAAAAGCTGCTAGAAATAGCGTCAAAGTCGCTAAGTTGGCAACACTGTGAGGAGCGCTTCATTTGCAACTTAGGGCAGCGCAAGCGGGAGGAGCAAATAATCGGCTCGTTATGTTTTTTATAATCGTTCAAAACTCAGATCGTAATCGTGATTAAAATTCGATTAATTGAGCAGCCCTATGGCAAGGAAATGTAATGTATTTTTTTATTTATGTATTTATTTACTTATTTATTTATGACTGGTCACCATTTTACCATGATTTAGTCTGAGGCATTTTCTGTTACTGTTCGCAAAATATTGAACCATGCCATTTTTCTGTTTAAGGATAGGCCTACAAGAACAGTCCCCCTCTTTACTGTCCACTCCTTGTTCCCTCCTCAACATGACTGATGTCAAGTTGTTGTTGTTATTATTGTTGTTAGCATCAAGGGCAACATGCCGATTATCACTTGTAAGTTGCTTTGGACAAAAGCGTCTGCTAAATACATAAACATAAACATTTAGGCTGCATAGCCTTTCTGAACAGAATTTTGTTTGCACAATGTTGCAGTGGCTACTTTTGTAAACCTATTAAATTGGCTAAGAACACATTTAGTTAATAGCAGGAACATAACAGATCATCATTCATAGCAATAGTAAATTATGTTATACTATTTATATTGTAAGCAAATGGCAAACAAGCATTACATTAGCGCCCCCATGTTAATAGGTGCTAGTCATGCTAATATGTTTCCATAGTTGATGCTCAAAATGTCTTTGT